GTGATCTTATCATGTAAAGGTTTTCAGTAGCGCTAGCGATTTCACCACACCTTGTGACTTTTTAATCATAGTTTAATCAAGATTCCAAAATGCTAACTACAGTTGAAATAATACAATCTGAGCTTATGCTAAGCAGCAATCAAAGTCCTAATAGGATTGAGGGAACATAGAAAAAATGCAACTCATTATCTGCCTGCAAGTTCATGCTGTAGACTGCGTGAATCACTTACTGTGTAAGGGTTGGATGCTCATGCTAGAGGGGTAGTTAAGGGTTTGAACTCGTAACCAACTTGTTAAAAGTTTAGTAGCGAAACTGATAAGCTATAGCTTCACATGTTAATTATACTCTTCCAATTGATCTGCAAGAGCTGACTGCTAGTCGTTTTTCACCTACACTTCAACTGTTATTGCTGGTGTCCGACAGGCTGCTGTTCTTTTCACATGCTACTGGTTAATTAGTTAGCAACCAAGTTCTTATCAGATCTTATTTAATCCTGAGTAGTGCCTAGGTTATGACTTATAACTGTTCTGATACACATGTGACACGTGCGTGTTTGATGTCTGATCAAGTCATGAATAGCACCTTCATTGTCACAGTACTCCCACTGATTGTTGCTGTTCTATGGTAGTTACTTTGTTAGCGTAAAGGTATTTAAATCTAGGTAATTGAGCTTGCACAAAGTATTCGATGGAACTTATTCTTTCTGCACCATTTTTAAGCACTAGTTCTAGTGAATTCTAATTGCCGGAAATTTAATTCATAATTTAGTCCTAGAAGTAATACAGCCTATTTTCATTACTATCTTTACATGCGCTTCTCATTTCCAGTTATTGTGACACTCATACTCATACTCATCATCACGTCCAGTCATCAGTTATACCAAATCAAGTGATGATGACTTATAATTGGTATAATTTGGGTTCAAGCGTTCCAACTATCGGTATGATGCTGAATATAATGTAAATACTACTAGAGCTATATGTCACATTTACTATCTGTACTAAATCTAACGATCTTGACTTTCCTTTTAGACGGAATCAAGCGAACAAAGTTGAAATCCTCTATCTAGTGCATGCAAACCAAGAGCTTATTCCACTGAACCCACTTCTCTCTTCCACTACATAGTGTATGGAAGTAACTGAAAATAGTTTATTTTGGGTTGTCTTAACACAGAAACCTCTATTTTTCGTCATATCGTGTACCGTTTATTATTGATATGTTCATTTCATGGGAATAAATTTGAGAGAGAGAAAAAAAAATGAACGTTTACCATCTAAGTTTAATGGAGGAAAATAGACACAAAATCCTTCCATGTTGTATTATTTATAACAGTTTGAATGAATGCAGTTGGTTTAACTAAAAATATTTTAAGATTATTACCGACCGTGTGTGTTTGATTATGCACGCAGATTCATTCTTTTCTGCTTAGACTTGTTTGTACAAACTAATTATGTTGATAATGTTTGAATATGTAATTACATATAGAAGTAAACTGGATTTAATTCTTTTTATGCACACATTGTATGCACATGTTTGTATATATTCCATTCGGTGAATAAATGAATAGCTGAATGATGATGTGTTACGAAATCCTCGGTGTGTCTTGATTACTTTTTGCGTGTTTTTGTGACCAAGGTCTACATTTTATTATGTCTTTGTGTCCCCGTACCATTCATAGCCTACTCATGTATTATTCTTGTCGGTGTTCGTGTGAAACATTCTTTAATCGATTTTTACGCTCTGAATATCTACATCCGTAACGTGTTTGCAACACATCGTTTTTCTGCATAATCAGCACAGATGTCTAGATTTCAACCTGCTATAGGAATAACGATCTTAGCAACATAACAAAAAAAGATGGATTTTGTGCTATCAAGTCAACCATTTTTCATCATGGCGTTTGCTAACCAAACATTTTAAGACTATACTAACTGGAATGTTACTTAACATATTATTAGTTCAATAATCAATTGTATATGACGATGTTCTGCTAAGCGGTATCTAGTTTTTTCTTCGGCTGGTTTGAAGTTGTAGTCTATTTGATGGCTAGCAGTGTAATTTAAGACGTGCGTCTCGCCCCGTTAGGGACTCGTCAGCCGGATGCACACCAACCTCAGTGAATGATGTTGTCCCCACTGAGACTCGAGCTCAGTACCCATCGCTCCAAACGTCAAAGCGTAGTTCACCGGGCTATCGTGCCCCAGTGGCCTAATGGTAGCGCTTGGCCGTTGAAACTATGAGTACGAGATTGGGGTCTCAAGGGAAAGAACGTCACTCACTGGGGTGGAGGTACATTCAGCTGGCGAGTTTCAAGTAGTATAGTGGGAGTTATTTCATACTTTGCTCTCCTGGGACTTGTTATCTGTCTTTGGAATAAACTGTAGAGCATTGTGTGCCCGCTCATGATTAGGATGATTTTTTAACCGAGTTATACTCATTAGTTCAAAGGCTTATTCGATTAAGAGTTTTATCTGATGTAATTTGCTTTTAATTTGATAAATTTACTCTGTCACTTTTATTTTATTTCCAGTTGTTAGTGAAGAAAAAAGTTATCAATATATATATATATATATATATATATATATATATATATATATATATATATATATATATCAGACTGTATTTTACTAAAATTGGTCTTTTCTACCTAGACGGTGGTTCTGTTCTAGTGTATGATGTGTATTTTAAATGTTACTCCCTTTCCATTTTTCTCTGCATAACTAAAGTTAATATTCGAAATTATGTTGCTTTGAACGAATTTTCCAAACTTTTGACTGTATAGCTGTCAACAAGTTTACTAGATCCGAACAGTGTACAAAATTTGTTCATATTACTTGGTGTTCTATAGTAGCGGATAAAGCCGCTAAGCTTTTTGATAGATCCTCCAAATGAAACTACTACTTCTGTGCATATTTGTGTTCAGTGAAACAATGCTCTGTAGTTGAGTTTCAGCCATTAGGTCAAGGATTCTAACCCCGTTCCACCCACCGAGGTTTAGACAGCCAGGTGCTACCATTAACCCTCACACATTAATCGTGGCTCCATTACCTACTACACAGATTTGCACCAGGTTACTGAGTACATTTCAATTTCATAGGTTATCCAGCTGCCTTAAACTGTTAAATATTTTATTTTTGTTTTATAACCTGTATTGTTTGACGAATATAATTTGAAACTGGAAGGAAATTAAATGGCTGTCATCGTAGTTCTCAGTTAAATTTCTCTTCTACTGACGATAGTTTCTGTGATGGCTATGTAAATGATGAGAATTACATTGACTAGTCACTGAAAAGTAACTAATTACTTTTATGTTGTCCCTAATCCTAATTTCTGACCGGATCCTATCAATCATTCTGTAACGAAAATGCCTTTACTCTTCTTGTATAGTTAAGACATCAATATAACCAATTTATGGGATAACTAAGTAATTTGTGAATAAATCTTTATCTATAACGAGTTTTATCGAAGTGAGGATTACTGGAAATGTGTTAAGGCGTCAAGGTTTCTTGTTACTGCCGGAGGATGGTCGAACTACAACGAAGTATTGATCCAGTTTTCATGTCTTCAGTTTTTCTAAAGCTGATATTAGAATAATGATAAAAAGTATGTAGTTTAGCAGATTTCCTACTTTTATTTTTCAGTAATATTTCCTTATTTTCTTACATGAAATTGAGCTCTATTTAGAAGATATTTGATAATGTATTGGATAGTAATGAAAGAGTATCGGACAACAGTGTGGTATTGCTGTTGTTCCTACTATGTATCAACACATCCATTCAAGCATTGAAACCAAGAACTGTACACTCATTTCATTGTGTTAACGATAGTACTCACTTATGACTACTTCAAGAGATGAATTAAAATCCGCCAGTCTATGCAGTAAGTATATCAGTCTCTTAGGTACGACCAATATTTTTAACCTCAATACGTTTTATTTTATTCCAGTTTACAATATGTCACCGGTATTATAGCACAGTTCAGTCATATATTCTGAGTGCGAACCAAGGGTGGTATAATATGTGTGGTCAATCACAGAAACAATTAGTCTGCCAGAAAAATACTTGCATGTCTGGACCCATCCTATCAGTAGTTGTTCTTGATTTAGTATAAGTGCTTGCATAAACTCATCAATAAGGGATGTCTGCAATCGAAAAGGAACTCATGCTTAATTCATAGACTCAAAATATGCAACAATTAGCACATTAATCAGGGATGTTATTACCAGTGCAGGTTCGAATGTCTGAGGGAGTATCGGTTTCTTTGAGGTCAGATTTGGGGCCAACTAACAGGCAATCTGGATCAAGAAGAACCCTTTGTTGTTTAGACACAAGTATCCAACACTAAATACAGCACACCAAGATATGCAGTTACTTAACCCAGTGACAACACAAGCCACGACTGTGTATTTGTTAATTCTTAAGATTAGACTACATAACATTGATTACTCTTTCACAGCCAGTGGAATCACATTTTCGCATCACTTGCTATCTCTGTAGTAAAGTTGCCTTTACCAACGTAAACGATAATTCCATCAAATGTAAAAGATGTATATATTCAACTTATGATTTATCAGTAACCATTGTAAAGTGATCGAATAAATTCAAATGAATGTTTTTTAAATTTGCCTTGAACAATCTAAGGTGTTTTTTCATTTTATGCTTTCTAATATCCATATGTTAATATTAAATTGAAACCAATAAATCCCCACAACCCCCAAATTAATTTAATCTTGTGCTCACTGGTGACTAGTCTCGAGAAGTGATTCTTGAAGTTCCACCGAGAAGTCGTGGCCAGTGGGGCGAACCTGGTGGACGTGAAAACAGATACTCGGCGATGACAGTGAGTGATGGTCGCGCTATATTGTGAACTGACAGAAATTAGAAATATTGGACCAATACATTCCGACCCAGCGGCTTAATGGTAACGTAGTGGTCGCAAAATCTGGAGGTCCTGGTCTCGATCCCTGATGGGGCGATGGGTTTTCTGAGGAGCCCTATACTAGGACGAAACAGTTGTCCAGTGCTCCCAGGTTCCCAATTTTCCTCTAACTGATGTCAGCCATGAAGAATACCAACTTGAAATTAATAAATCTCCACAAACCCCCGAATTGATTGTAAACTGTTGTTAAAACTAATTGTGTTATATTGCATATTGTCAATCTGGAATTTCGTCAGATACTTGGCCTGAAAGCAGCATTCCACTCTCTTGGTCAACAAATATCATCAAATTGTCTAGATAATGGAAACATGAAGTAATTATGTTATTCTATGAAGCCTCTATATAAGAAATCCATGCTTGTGTTAAAGTCTCGGTATCAGGTGATTTGTTTACATTGCACACGATATCCGCTGTCTCCATCTTTTATTCAGCTTTCATATATGTGTCCTTATGAACTCCTTGCTCTCGTTGTATGACCTTGCACGGGTTGACATTATCATAGGAGATACCATAGTAGGCCTGGAATATACAGTTTCTATAATACTGTCGGGTGATGTTGACAAGATGTAGAATCTTCTGTGCACGAAGTGAATTTTGTTGTTCCAAGACTAGTTTGCGTTGATGACTGGTATGACAATAGTTAGTGAAGTGGTTGAGAATACTAACCGACTCACCTACTTCGAAAAGTTGGATCAGTGGTCGGTGAAAGTGTCATGAAGTCTCTGACTTGGTGAGAACTTTGTAGGTAGACCTATAAGTTGAAGTCCGTGGGATACCTGTAATCGATGGCTGAAGACTCTAGATAATGTAATTCAAATTCAATAGCATTCGTACAAATGCATCCACACAAGTGTAGCTCACAGCCTAGTACATAAATGTATTCCCGGTTGAACCGTATTATTGTTATCATTTATATTCATCCTGGTCACCATATCAGTTATTTGTTTGACTTCATCTTCTTTCTGAATGACTTTCTAACATTTCTTTTTTAATCTTTGTATATTTTCCCTCTTTCATCTTTCTACCATGTATCTTAATGTGATAATGCCACGTATGGTATTTTTGAACTCCTAAGCAGTATTACCAGATCCCACGTTAATAATACTGATTGACTGAAAAGTCAAAACGATCATCTGATCGCGTTCTCCTATATCTGTTTGCTTACCTTTAGTCGGAACCGGTTGAGGCAATTGTTGGCTTCCGTTTGTTGAATCCACATCTGGCAAATCGATTATGGAAAGCAGCAGTAGAACACCACGCATTTTTTCGATTAAAAGAAACACCAACACCTAAACGACCTCTCCCAACATCTAGTCTAAATAAATCTCAGTTTCGTTACACCGGGCGAACATTCTTTCAATATCGTACAATGAATATTGATAGGCCTCATCCACGATTCAATCGTTCTATGCTAAAACGACGCACAGCGAGTATGCCAACCGGTCTAAATATATGTAAGTAAAATCAGTATTTCTGATTAATTTTTTTTGTCTTGTTTATGTATTATTATTATAAAGTGGGCAGTAAATGTTTCTACCAAGTTTCATTTCTACGGCGATCGATGTTTAGTTAGACATTGAAATAAAGCATAAATAGGGTAGTTAAACTGACACAATGCAAATGAAAACCAGTTTGAATTCAATGTCATTTTCGTGATGAAATAAAAGAATGAGTGGGATGGAGCTTTGGTGTGTAATATGAGGCGTCTAGACAGTAAGTACCTAAGGGTTATCCTTAATTGTCTTCTGGTATTTACAAAATTTGAATACCTATCTCTGTTGATAAGTTTATTTTGATTGCATTACCATCATCGAATTTCTGGTTCTGTGTGCATAATTTTTGAATTTATAGTCAACCAAATCAGTTCCGCTTCGAGCAGCTCTTAATACTTGCATGCTAATTATTTTCCTGGATTCTGCTGACTTGCAGTCAGGTAGTAATGTTGTAAGCACTACTTGTAAAAATGTATACCAATAGTATGTCGCGCAACATCTGGAAACCCCAGAAGTGATAATGATTGACTGAAAGACTACGATGGAATGACAACAGCACTATATTGTGTGAAAATATAGCGGGTAAGAGAACTACACCGTGAAATGCTGAAGATTAGACTGTTCGCAAATGTGATTGTATTGTCAAGTTTGGTATTTTTATCATTACCGATTGCAACTTCCCAATCAGCAATCTCTGTTGCTCCATTGGACTTCTATTCCTTAGTATCTTACCATTCTGTGAGTGATAATACACTACTACCCATTTGTACAAAATTTGAAATGGTCTGTTATATGAAATTCAAATGGAATTTCGAGCTCTTTGTTAGTTATATCTTGTAACTCATTCGCTAGATATTGGGCCTATTATCCGGAGTTCAATCGCAGTTCAAGTTTTTCTCTTTGTAATCATCTCTTGCACTGCAAAGCTGTTTTAAGTATTCGGATATGAAAAAATAACGAATACGCTAATGTTACTTGAAGAGACAAGGCAACAAAGTCAAGTATGTACTCAGCTTATCATACACACTTTTACAAAATTGATAAGGGATTTTAAAAGGAATTATTGAATCAACTAATGTGATTGAGATTGCAGTCTGCGAAATGCTGAAAATAAATTTGATCTAGCGTCTACATTAGTTTGATTACCACTATTACCTTCAGTTATCTTTAACACATAGACGCCTACATAGATTTTGCCAGTAGTCAATGTGTCTATAGTTCTGTTCTCAATTTTTTATTCTCAATACCATTTCACACTGACAAAATAAGTCTTGCTATATTTTTCCAGTTAAAATATCGCATGTTTCCTATGTCATCATACCTTTAATTGATGAATGTGGAATATTTCACTTCTTATCGTGCTCATTTATTTTTCTTCAGCTATGAATATGCATACATTAAGCAGATCGCATCCACGTGATATGACCATAGGAAGAACTCAAAATAATGATCAGTTAGGAGGATTGAAACGATTTGGTTCTGTTCAAATGGGACATTCTGATGGGGTGAGTTGTCATATTGATCGTATACTTACACTGCTGAACATCTGTACTGCCGTTATACTTGATTTCACGACAGTGCAATGCAATTATTTTCCTTGATAAACTTCGACAAAGCAAAAAGAAACCTTAATTTCTCTGAATCGTGTAATTTATTTGTGCGGCATATTTCGAACAGTCTGATCATACATGTGCTTATCATAGGTATTTATTGATATGAAAGTTTATTCAGAGTTAAGGGGGTGAGGATATGAAATAAGGTCAAGTAGGATGACCAACATAACAACAGAAGTCAGTAGAGCGCCAATATTAATATATCGAACCTGGTTTCACAGCTGAATTAGTTCATCAAGGGAGGTTTAATGTGATAACTAATTGTTAGATTTCCTGATAACTAAGGCTTCGACAAATTTAAGGATCCGTGCCCGACACGCTTTTTAAATAGGTGTAAAGGATGTAGGAACGTCGCTCCTGTGGCCTGTTTCAAGGATATGTTTCACACCCGAACAACTTGGATGTCTGTTACCAACATTTTCAGATCTAGATGATTCGATTGGCTGTCGAAACCACTGTGGAATATGCTCCGAAACCCCTTCTTCCATGGATCGATAGGTCCTTCCTATGTATGTGTCACTGTTATGAGTTCGAACACGCTAATGGTATATGTATATATTCCGAAACGAATGTAATACGCGCGCTTAGCTTTAGCTGACAGCTAACTTGGTACGCAAGAGACACTGACTGCAACCCCGGGACGAATAGAGAGAAGACCGAAGCTGGCAGATGGGAGAGTGTAATATAATATAATAACAATGAATCAATCCAAAACACGTGAATAAGTATACACGTGAAAACTGACCTTGTCCGCAATTGGAGAAATCCGCATAGTAAGAGTAAAAGTTAACCAATCAGCAAATTACATTACAATGGAGGCAGAAAATAGACTATTAGTCATACCGCCAAAACGATGTGAGAATGACACTTTAAAATGTTCGGATCGATAACAATGTTTTATACAGAACTGGGGCATCACAACAGTCACCACATATACATTTAAATAGGTAGACACAATGGCATGTGATGTCATCATTCATATATTATGAAAGTTACCGTTAATCGGATCCTAACTGCATAGTTTTTCTAATAGAGCATCATTAAGTCTATGCTTAAGGACTGGACCATGAGTCACATTAAAGACATCTTTCTCCGAGAAGAAGTGAAGAACAGGTTTTGGCGCTCTGGCTACTTTGTACCGACAGGTATTTTCCAACAATATTTCAGTCAATGTTCTTGTCTCGTCTTTCAAAGTACCAGCTGTGCATATTCGCTGAATCTTATTGAATAAGCGTTTGACTAATGCTCGCTTGTACTGAACTGGACAAAACCCATGGTAATTCAAATATCGCCCTGTCCGTTTAAGTTTGGTGTAGACAGTCTTATCGACCACTCCGCTCGTTATAATTATTATCAACTGATCAGTATGTCTAAGAAAGACAATCATCATAAACAAATATACAGGTCTCGTGAATCTTCTGATACGAGCACTAGGGTTATGTTTACGCCAACGTCAAAGCTATTTACCGTTTTGTTATCTCATGAGGTGGTTAAATAATGATTAAATCCTTTTAAGTGTGATTTGTGAATTTACGTTCAGTCGTTTAAACACTTATAGGATTATTTAACATGTTAATTGTTTGATCCACCTTTCATTCAGTGAGGCTAATTTAAAGCCTAGTGTATCCAACTTTTAATTTGTAAATATTATTTGTCTATTAGCCTATTCCGATAAAAAATGATATAAAATTCTGCGTTGAGGATATGTACCTTGTGAACAACATCATAGTGTTGCATGGGAGTTCGGTATGCTTATCTATTGTAGTCAGTAAATCAGGGTCAGGGGAAAACTGTTCACCAACTTTCATTGCTAATAGCGGGAAAAGTTGGCTTCACAGATAAGCGTTGCATTAACTTCTTCGGACTGAAAGTCTATCAAACCGACTAGTATTAAGGTGTTCATTATGATTGAGGAGTTCAAGTATTTTGAGGTTGATCCTGTGATGAATCATGTTTGGGTTCTGTGATCATTAATTATCAATAGTTATTCCAGTGAAAACTTTCGGTGGTCATCATTATTTCGGTTACGTCAATCATGTGGTAGTCGCATTAGTAGCTGACATACACACGCGCAAGATACGGTGCAGGAAACTGATGAACTACTTCAACGTGATAGGGATCATATTCCTACCCCCATTAATTAACCTTTTTTGAAAAGTAGTGTTACTTGAACTATTCTAGCATGTTTGTTGGTAAATCTTCTCTAAATAGTAGGCAAATCACGTTTTAAGTCCTATTCTTTCTTTATTAGAGCGAATATTTACTATAAAATAATTCACTTCAGTACACAAAGATGAATTTGTTATACTGTAGTTTATTCAAATTAGGATGACCTCATCTATCGAACAGAAAAAGTACATAATTTATACAGCTGTCCTACCTGTTTCGTGAAGCATACAGAAATATCTCTTAGCACTTGACAAAATCTAGGTTTTTCAAGTGGATATTGCTTGTTACTAAGATGTACTTGTATATAAATGATCGTTGTGGTCTATGCGTATTGAACACATGTCTGTCTCATAGAACAGAGTACACTGCAATGCCATATATTACTTACTAGTTGCATTCGATGTGTATTATGTTAATAACACTAGCAATTTTTAGTATTTGCGCGTTGTAGTTAATGGTCCATCACTTAGTTCGCATAACCTGGTTCAATGAAAAGTCAATTATATTTTGCATGGATCCAAACTATCGTCTTTGACTGCCTAACGGTAAACAACCTAGGTCCGAATCTTTGAAGGAGAAGTGAGACTGTGAATATGCTTCACTAGTGAGTATATAAAAACAGAAATTTTAGTTATGAACCTCTCGTGGATTATCTGTGATGGTGTATCTTCAAACGTGGTGCACCGCGGCCTGATTTTGATGATCACACTGTATATCATTACTTGATGATGATTCTATTCGGTACTGAAGACTAGAAGACGATGTTGGCAACCGGAAGATGACAAAATCATACAAATTGAGATTTATATTACATTGTTTCAGGGTTATTGTTCTTTCACTACTCTGCCTTATTCTCTTTTTGTTTCATTTACGAGTTACAGTATGGCCAATAATTTGAACTGTGCACTACATATTGTAATCCAGCGGAAACCTTGTTGACACCACAGTTGAGAAGTTGAAAAACTAATCAGCTGTGAGAAATAAGCCGTGAAATTTGTAAATCATTTGCAAATTGATCATCCAATTTTAGGTATACCGGTCCATGTAAGTCAACTAGCCATATTCAAGTGATCTGAAGTAATTCGGCTCTTTGAACTGAATTTGTCCAGGTACACCGCTGATGAGGTCTGACCCAAACGAGCAAAACTACCGTCCGGTGTTTAGACCGCTGATCTGGCTGACGAAGTACTACAGATCAGCTTATGTGTTTTGTAACCACTCAAATTATTCAGTAGTAGCATCTTTCTTGTTAGCCATCTTTGACTGTTTCGCAGTAGGACCGTAACTGGTTTTCATGTGCATACTATTTGCATACTACAATTTCAAAACGCACTACTCAGTGAATTATACAAGACCAGGGATATATATATAGTGTTGACTGTCATCCTGCTTTCTTGTTCATTTCCTTTTATTAACTAACTTTTCTATGCTGTTCACTGTTAGGAATTGTGACAGATTGCGTTGTGATGTACTGCAGTGCATGCTTATATGTGTATATTTAGTCAGATTCTTATTTGTAAAGTGTGTCAATGAGGTTAGGTTTTCACTATCATCTCGATTTCTCACTTGTACTTTAGGTCTTCTCATCAGTGACAATAGAATAATGAATGCCAAATCATCATCATCATCATTATCAACATAGGACCAGGCATTACTGCGTAACGGTCCGAGTTGCCACACCTCATATCAGCACATCAAGTAAAAAGGTAGTGAGGTGAAGGATGAAGATAAGTGAATGCAGTCAAAAGAAATATAAAGTATGAGAAGAAAGGAAAGAGGAGTGACAAAATAGTGAGATTCGGTATAGCGTTGTTAAGATGAGGATAATGTGTGTATACATCTGCGCCACTGACTTCGGTTCTGAGCCATATCACCTAGGGTCTCCAACCACTGGTTCCTCTTGTCCCGTGGACCCCAACCACCTAGTCTGCATGCCAAAATAGGTACATAATGTTCTTTTAAGAGAAAATAAATTTAAGGACACTTCATTATTATCCTAATTATTAATACTAACACTACGTCTCTTATCTCCAGTTATCAAATTTCTCAGTCTGAATGCTGTTATGTTACACTAATTTATCTAAAGGAATTACTTGCTTAAGCTTGAGAGTCATGGGTAAGTCAGTCGGTCAGATGAACCCTAAATAAATTACGTCTAGTCATTCAATAGCTGTATCTTTCGATGTATCCATTAATCTGCGTTAAGTTTCTTAAAAACACTACTGAATAAATTAGTTAATAGATGGCCAGCTTCACATACTGTCAAACAACATAAATTTCCTTCAATCAAATGAGATTGATGTTGGTCACTGGATAGTCGCTTCATTCTTTTAGAACAGAAATCCATATGAATTTAGTCACGTAGCTTAAATGATCTGACAATTCATTCAACCGATTTCGAATATCATTCTGAGCTTGTTTTAATGTTTTAAAACGTCTACGAAGTTTTTTCGTCTTTCCAGTGAAGCAAAAAGCATCATTCAACCAAACTTCACCAGAAAACAGCACTGCTTTCCTCTCACGCACTTGAAGTAACGAAGGATGAATATAGGCATACGAAACGCATTCAGCTACCTTATGCACATTCGTGCAGCAAGGGATCAGCCACACCTATTTTGTTAGGGTTTTTGATACATCCAGCTGTCCAAATCTCGATAGATGGGGTAGGACTCGAATCCATAGCCCAGTGGTTGACAGTCATCTCCCTAAACCACTTAGCCACAGGTTCACAAGTATAGGCATGAGGAACACATGGTCCCTCATAAAGGTGTATAATACAAATGGTTACACTCAACATCAGAATGCCGAGATGGTTGGTGATGACTATATACTCTTCTAGACAATTTTAAAGGTTAAACCGTACATTTGTTTATTTCTGAATAAAATATGTTGCTATTTATTCGCAGTTAAGTTTGTACACTTTCTCTCAGCAATTATGTATTCACGGCTTGGTTTTTTGTACTGTATACTTTTTTTAAATCTCCTCATCGTTCCTAACGCCACATGGAGTTTCTCATGATATTTAGGTTCCTGTTGCGGTGATTTGTCTGTAACATTATAGAACCCGAAGAAATTCAGTTAGTATTTGCATTTATGTAATTTTATACATCTGTGTAACACATCTTGTCATAACATTAGCTTAAAAGCGAGACTAAAGGTCCTACGAGTAAGCAAAGTGCAATCGCCCATACTTGTTGAAATAAAATGGACATATTTATTTATGAATCAACTTTGGTGATCACAATTCATTGTCACCTTTGATTGAACAGGCTAGAGTTGTTGAACATAAATTATTATGCAAGTGTATTGTATTAATGGCTCTTTAGCCTTACATTATTGCATGGCTATGAATTACTGAACTCTGTAAGCGACCACATAGCCTCTTGAAACTCTGTAAGTGAGCCTGGCTCAAACCCCATTGATTTACTGCTTGTAAGTCAACTATCTATACAGATGACCCACAGTTTTACTACTGCATAGCAATTCGCATTTTGATGAGACTACTAGTTTAAATTAGTAGTAAACATTTGCATTTAAAATGATAACAACCCACTATTAATTCAGTATTCCCTTAGATTACAGCTCATCTATTGTTTCATTCGAGCTAAGATACAAATAGTATAATTTGGCATAATGTGTGACTAAATAAAAAGAAAACTCTTATCTTTCTAGGTCAGCTCAAACTGTGCATGAAGTTAGGCCAGTACAACAACTACTGGATTTCGTCGGGATCATGATTCACTGTTAACGAAAGTCGCGATCACCAGCTGAACCAATAATTTGGAAGTGATTTTTTCTAATTACTCAATTCTTGTCACCTTTCGTCGCTAACAGACAGACAGCGTAGAACGTGGGGCAGAAGAGCATTGGTTCATCCTTAACAATTATCGTTTCATCTAACCTTTTTGAAATATGCTGGGTGCATAAATTTCAATGACTTGAAAATTATGCATTAATATGTATTCCATTTTTAAAAATTTTATCATATATGCTGTATGGATTTGGGTCATTAGTACAATGGCTGTCACATTTTCCCTTCTATTATTCTAGATGAATGGGGATGGAACAGCACAAGCATACGGTACTGTCCCGCGAAATAATCCTTATTCTGGATCTTTCATCTCTGAAACACAAGATTCACAATCTCAAATTAGTAAACAGTATAGCGAAGGTGTTGCAAATAGCTTATCATATGGATCAGTTACCGGTAGTTATAGAAGTGACGTTGCAGGTGATAATGACTATGTAAATTATAAGCATCATGAACGAAAAATAAATGAAGCGTTATCTATTACAAGTGGATCTCAACTCAGCGATTATTTTACTACTCATCGTCAAAATGAACGCAAAAGTAAGCATCCTTCTGAGCTGTCGAATTCAACAAATGGGCACAGACCGAACTCTCCGATCTATGCAAACACTAAAGCATATCGCCGAAAGAAATATGATGATGATACATCAACACCTATTTTTAATACTGTTCAAAACAAAAGTACTCGTTCTTCTGATCGTGTCCTATCATCTGGTCGTAAACCACCTGTAGGTGGAGTACCAGTGTTTGGAGGTGTAATGGTTCCTAATTATCATGAAACAGACAAAGGTAAACGATCAGAACAAATGCATGCATCGAATACTTCCAGTCGTGCAGTGAGACAGAAGTATTCAGAAGAAAATGATGAAGAACAAACTGTGACACTGACTGAAGATAAAGTTGATGATCCTAATCACTTCAGATCCAGTTCTAAATATCGAAATCAATTACCAGCAAATAATCACGATGCAGCACCTAATCATAGTAAAGGCAGGCGTTCTGGACGATCAGTAAGTGTCTTTGAGAATATACGCTAATATTAATTGACGATCTATTCGTATTTATTGAGATTTTATTTACTTCGAGATAAATTGATAACGTCGATATCGCAAACATATTAGTGCTTTGCTTTGATTTATATCATCTCCGATTACATCTTATATTACACTGATCCAGTTAAATCTCGTTAAAGCTTCGAATAAAGACCAAACGCGACCGATAGCTGTCTCCTCCATGTAGTTATCAGGCTTCCGTATCACAATGCCCAACTAGCAATTATGGTGGGACACTTATTCCCTTGAGGTCTTACCATACCAGAAAGGTCTATTGGATAGTGATGAGACTGAAAGAAGTCAGTTCCATAGTGTAAATAAGTGCGTCGTGATGGGAAGGCGAGGGCAAAGCCGCATCGCTAGCGGGATTGGTGTGTAACAGCGGTATGGTGTCTCTATGAGATGACCTTAAGTCCATGTTGATGCTGTCTTCTATTTAGAAGAGGAGGCTTAGAGAAGGCGAGCGTCATAAGCAGCACACTCCTCCCTGCCTTGGTCTCCTAGTGTCGACAATTGAGGTTTACAGTTAGATTCGAAAAAGATACAACCAAATCTTCATAATTCCCATATGGCCGCAAGCAAATATCCCTTGGGCTGTTCAGTCACGCATCTCAAGAAAAAGTAACCTTCGACAGTGTAGGCAGCCTGAAGTGTCATCTTCCCTCACAACTCTACCAGTCCTCACTTTCCCTTGTTAGTTAGGGAAATAGCATGTCTAGTTATTTTACTCATCCATGTTTCTTAGAGCGTTGAAAACAAGCTACAGAGTTAGATTTCATCCTGACCATTAGATTCAAACCTAATTGGTGTAGTGGTCCAGATGAAACCATCACAAACAAGTTTACTGATGGATTACTGTTTTATAACTGGTGTTTTCTTAACTTCCTGTATATCATCTCAACGGCTATGAAAAGTTGGAGTGTTAGTATACCTAATGCATGAAATGTATTAACATTAGTGTTGATAATAGTTGTAATTTATCTAAATGTAGTTTACATTACTTAGAGACAAGGATGTAGTTATTGCATCACCACCTATGACTCGCTCCTATGCAATTTTACAGTAGTAGCAATCTGAAAACTACAGTAGTACCATCTGATAAATCGATGAATAACTATTTCTCCAACTGTAATTCGTCAAAGTCTTAACTTCCATGTTGGAACCATCATTATGTGTTTAAAAGAAGCATGTACAACCTCCTTCTCTGCCATGACGATTGTAGAAGATCGGCCACCCAAATAATTTCGTCGTGACAAAACTGCACTTTATTTTACAATCACTGTTTATTTCCCCATTTGTACGTCGTGAGATATTGCACAAGTCAACTCTGTCATGCAATTCATTTTGACTTTAACCGGATATTACTCCTGGAATCTTCTATCATCTCTATTATATATACACGAATGTACAGTTAAGAGAATGATATAGTCGAAAAAAGACTTTCCTTCGCTGTGACTGGTTTTTCTGTTTTCTTTTGAGGTTGCAAAATACGCCTTGCTGACGAGTGCCAACAAACACGAAACGTCATTTCATGGCTTCCTGGCGGTGTATCGAGCCACTAACATTCCTAAAAAATAACCACCAAATAGTCCAGTTTACCATTCCATGTTAGACTGTTCATTGAGTGTGGCACACTATGATACAGTACTATTCAATAGATGACATTTCGAGAGTAATTTATTGCTCAGCAAATAATACTGTGTCACTGTGTGCTGCATCAAATAAACAAACGAGCATGAAATTATACTCAACTATAGTTCAGTTCATCATTCTAATGTTCTAATTCTACTGAATTTTTGTATATTTGTAGGGGAACTTCTTTTTTCTTCCCATGTTTCTCAGACTTCTATGAAATATTTGACAGCAAGTATTTCATCCTCGAATTCCAGAACTGTCAGTCTAACTGAGTCAAGTGTCATACAGTATCACTAAATATGACTGTAGTTGTATGATATGTTACAGTTGGATGTTTTGTAGTTGATTGACCAGGTATTTTCAAACCAAGCCATCACTTGTAGACCTGTAATACAAAGTAACCTGTTAAATTTGTCGATCATAGCTTCCAAATAACTTGGGAGTACTGCGCTTATCAATTTTTGAATAGGTTAGCGCTAACACCATCACTGTTTCTTCTCATCGATCCCACAATAATTTTCATGCAGAAGATGACATTTCAATCATAGCACTATCACTTTCGCCTTGATGGCATCATCGTTTTCCATTTAATTGATCATGTTGTTATCATTTCTTCTTTTTGACAAATGGTAGTTTCACTATGGTTTATATTCCGTTTTTGGAATAGGTTTCACCCGAACTTGACAGATGCAAAGGCCAATTACTCGTATTGTTGTATAGTCACGAGTTCGAGACCGAGGAAGAACACAATAGAGTAGTCAGGTGGAATAATATATTTGATAGACCGTACGAAATATCAATGATTTCCTACGAACTGGTTAAAGGATTGCGTACGGTCAGTGCAACGTAACACGAAAACGTGCGAGATGGCGTGGATGCGTGACCATGTACCTTCAGCCTAGCAAGTCTGTTAAAACTACGAACGTCAGCACTAATGTTGAATTTCGTCGAATCCTAGACTATTAGTCTTGTGGAATTCCTTGCTGTTACACCGTTTAGCATCCTAGTATGACAGTTAGGGAATTCAAACATACAAATTGTGATACTGTATTGCATATTTTCAGGCACTAGGTTTGTGTTTTGTTGTTAGTTGGAACCATTCTAGTGGTTCTGCACAAATGGCCAGTATCTATTAGGCGAGTGTTGGTAACTAGATTTACAAAAAATCACCTATTCACACTCATATATGATTATTTTTTTTGGTTATGTAAATGTGATCACTATGTTAAGTGTTACAACAGTTCAGCTTATAAACCTGCCCATATACGTCAAAGAAATAATGCAGTGACTAATCACTCCTCAATTATTACTGATTCTCTAACTAGCAGTTATTCAAGAGCTTTGTGGAGTCAAAAATACTTGACTGCTGAATGTTTGTTCATATTTGACATAAAGATAGTTGGTTATTTTGAAGTGGTATACTAAAGCATTTAATTTCATGTTGTGCAAAACGTGAATAGAAGTAACATGAAGGGTGGTTATCATACTGGATAGAACAGAAGCCCAAATCCACTCGTAAGAATACGCTATTTCTCAAGTAACCGTCCTATCATAGATTACAGCTATTTTTTACTTGAGTCACTGCTTATCTTTTCGATAAGTCTGATTACTGAATGTGGATATTTGTTTAGTTGGCCAGGATTTTGGTCGTTCAAAACTGATTCAGTTACGGGTAGTGAGTCAGAGTGGGAAGTCATCAACCAAAGTAACGAACCCAGTCACTCAGTTTAGCATACAACCGACTATATTTTCGTCTGTATAAGTCATAGGTATGGGAGTAGGGAGAGCATGCTTGTGAATATTTTTAAGCATATCATAGAGATGACTACAGTCACAGGTTATATTTCTTCGCTAAGCCTATGAAAATGAGATGATTCCTAGTGATATGACTTCAGCTGAAATACCTTTATCGATGAAAGAAGAATGACCAGATCTGTTCTTTATCGATTCAACCGCAGATACTATTAGGACATTCAGTTCACTCCGATTCAATTCGAACAGTTTTCTATGTGTAATATTTCAGGTTCCATTGATAGGTTTAGCTAAAGCACCGTTAAAAGTGATTAGCAAACACCCAGATTTGTTCTGGCCTCATCAAAAAACGCTGCATACGACCATTCATCGTTATCGGTATACCACACTTGTTTACAGTACATCTTTACAAAATTGTTTGAGAAACAGATTTCTATTTTCAAAATAATCTCTCTGATATCTGAATTAAGTAAAAGTTCATGTTTATATGAATGTGTAGATCGATTTAAAGATGTTTATGAATGTCGACACGCTTCAACTTACTGATAATGAAGTGACCTTTTTCGAAAGTTTAAATGTCTGTTGTCAATCTGTAACGAGATTATTTATGACAAATATAGGTATGCAGGATTGTACATGTCTATACTTCTACGACTATAATAATAATAGTCAGTGTTTTTATCTATACTGTAATCAAAAAAGTAGGTCATAAGTATGATAAATAAAAAACCAATAAACTTGACCTAGATTACTAGTGCTCTTTATTTCATTAGTTTTCATTATCAATATCATCAATGAGAAATTCGTGTTGGAATCCAAAAGAATTACAACTCTAGCTTGTTGTTATGCCATCTTTGTGTAGATATGCCTGTTACTATTCTCTTTTGTTTTGATTTATTTGTAAAATCATCGTGGTAATCAAGTAAAGTTTTTTTTAGTCAGTAACTGCACACTCATCCAGTGTTTGTACATGCTTGACGCATATTAGTCAGCTGATGCCAACTGATCTATCTATCAGTTCCTAATTGCTGAATGCTGATCAGCCTACCGATTAAGTTTTCCATATGGTCAGTAAACCAAGTTGTGTGACACTGGGGTGCACTGTATGCTAATGTAACATCTTTTATAAAGAGATGTTAGTATCTCGTAGTTTAAATTTGTTGTCCACTCTTCCCTACTATACCCTACATCCGTATCATCATATCTTCGCTGACTCTTATTACAGACACTAGAAACTACTGTTCTCCTTAAAATGATATTTTATTATTCGAGGAGTAGGTAATAACAGCGATCGATTTCTTTGAATTCAGTATAGCCCCCCTGTTGATATTTATATCTACGTTACCCGGAGATATAAAGAAAAAGCAGTCAATACAAAAGTGGCCGGGAAGTTTCTTTAATCCTAGGGGTCTGGTGGTTAATAACAGTTGGACAAGGAATACGAATTTTCGGTCTAGTTGTCAGATTTATAAGGAATCAACTGTTTTCAAGATGATTCATGTTGTAAAGTAACATCACCTATAGAACTATTGGGAATCACGGGCCTTTGTGTAGCCATTTCATGCTAATTTGTGACTCCAGAGTAATGCACATCTTCA